TAAGAGTAAAATTCAAAACTTAGCTCTTTAAATAATTTTTAACTAAATTATGAAAAAATTATACATTTAAATTTTTTATAATTTATTTAAAAATTATCTTAAAAGTCAATTTTCAATTTTTTTTTCTAAAAAAATTTAAAATTGATAAAAAAAAAAAAGTTATTTTTATTTAAAGCAACTACTTTTAAAAATTATCTTAAAAGTCAATTTTCAATTTTTTTTTCTAAAAAAGTTTAAAATTGATAAAAAAAAAAGTTATTTTTATTTAAAGCAACTACTTTTAGGCATTGCCAAACACTCAGCATGTAACATTCTCTGCTTATTTGGATTGCAATAATATTGTAAACCACATTGTCATTACAGTATGGATTGGGCTGTATGTGTATAATAATAATAATAATAATAATAATATAATGCAGGAATCTGAAGACTATAAAGACCTGGTCCGGCAGCATGTAGACCTGGAAACAATACAAGCTAGGCTGATCCAAGGGTCGTATGCCTCCTCCTCCTCCCTCGCTTTCTATAGAGATCTCCTCCTCCTCTTTACTAACTCCATTGTTTTCTTCCCCAAGCTTTCCCATGAATCCCTCACCGCCCATCACCTCAGAAACCTTGTACTGGATCACGTCAATAAGCTAACAAATAAATCCGATTCCTCACATGACCAACCTCCATCCCCAGCACCACCGAAGCCCGACCTTGAAAATTCCGACTCTTTGCTTGCCAGGCACAAGTCTTCCGCTCCTATTATAGTGTGCCGCAAGAGGAGTTCAGTCTCTACCAAACCATCTTCCTCTGCCTTTACTCTGAAAGCATCAGATCAACCTCAACCCGATGACAACAAGAAACCACCACCTGTTGAAAGCAGTTTGCTCAAACCGCAAGAGAAGCCAATAACTACTGGTACAAGGAGCTCAAGAAGAATCAGCAACAACAACAACAACAACAACAACATTAAGAAGCCTTCCAACACTGATAATACTACCCCAAACGGGAAACAAAATGCCTCTTCACCCCCAGCCAAAATTGAGATGCAAGACGACAGTACTCCTAGCAGAGCCGAGAAGAAGAAAATGGAAGTTTCAGCATCCGATAAAGAGAAATGTCTGGCGGATTACTTAAAAAAAATGAAGAAAAACTCTCCTGCTGCTGAAGTGAAGAAGAATAGCAAAGGAGGTGAGCAGAAGAAGAAGAAAAAGAAGAAGAATAATAATAATAATAATAGTAGTAGTAGTAACGGAAAGAAAGAAAAAGGGAAAGAGAAGGTGATGACGAGGAGGAGTGTTGAAAGAAAGCAAGGGAAGGAGGAGACAAGTCCATCGAAGAGGAGCGTTGGAAGGCCTCCCAAAAGGGAGGCGGAGGCCAGCGGGGGTTCGGGGAAGCGCGGTAGAAAGGAGGCGAAGCAGCCAAGGAAACGAGCTAGAAGGTAAAGGAACATGCTGTATGACATTATTGTTACGATGGAGATGGATTCTTTTCTTTAGGTTGTAAATTTATGTAACATATTGCAGTAGTTAGTCTCAGTGCTAGTGGGCAAAGCATTTTATATTTAGTAGCGTCATTACATACATGTTTTTTTCCCACTTGACTAATCGTCATCACATTAATCATTTTCTTCTTATTCTTGAAAGAAATGAATGTGACTCGCCAGAAGGAGGGCTTCAAGTTGTTGAACCTCTTCAAGTCCAAACTACCCTACCGCTTGACTTTATAAATGTTTTTAATTTTCCTTCTGACAAAGCATATTAGGTAACCAACAAGAATTCTTTGTCGCACGTAAAGTTTGCAATATGAAAGCACAGAAAAAGTCAAATCAAATCCTTCGTGTTTCATTCTTAGTTTTCAACTCCATTAATGCAAGCATCACAAGACAAGCAAAATGAGTTCGGCTTTCCTTCCACCATTTGAAGAAGAGAATGAAAAATTGGTGCAAATTGTGTCAGCAAAAGATTAAACAAATTATACATGATCACGCTTCAATCACTAAACAAATAATGTTACAGAGCATGAGACTGAGAGCACCACCAGCCATCAATCCCATACTGTTCCCTGTTTTTGCCAATTACGAAGGAATTAGTATCATCCAACTACAATAGATAACTACACTTACCTACCTATCCCACAAACCCACAGGTTAACCCCCTGTTGAGCTAAGTGCTGCTGTAAAAAGGCATTATACAAGTAATTAGCTTTCATAATTACGAATGTCTCTCTAGTCTCTACCACCATCGATCAACCATTCAGCGTGCTAAAAAAATCTGTTCATCACAGTCGGTCCATTTGTTGCCCGAATGGGTGGCCCCCCTCATCTGTTCATGGGAAAGAAGAACCATAAGGTGCCAGGGGAGGAAACAGGACACTAATTAATTACGACAAAATTAATTACGACATAAATGATCCAGACGGAATCAGACAAATATGAAAGGACTCATAGAGATCTGGCTTCAGACCACAAAAGTAATTACGGCATAAATGGTCCATAACACTGCCTAATTCAAAGTTAATCAAAATCAAATGATAACGAGTACTTGATACAATTCTAGTAATAGCTTGCATGTCCGTCAGAATTGTTCAGGCAAATTTTGTTGTCCCATTATCTGTTTTTCTCATTACAGATTATGAGTTCCATTTTCCAAAAGAAACCATTTTTTTTTTTTTTTTGGTGGAAAAAAGAAACCAATTTGCCATAATAGAAAATATGTGGGCTGTCCCCTGCAAAATGCTCAGTAAATCTGGAATTAGGTCATACACAGTGTCAGATCTAAACATACCACTTTCACCATCAGATATATCTGCCAGCCTTGCAATTGCATCAATAAGTGACTCCTCATGCTCCTGCGTTGACAAGTAAACATCAGTAAACCAAGCTGATAATAAAAGTTCTTAAGGAAACTTTCATGGCTGCTCCCTTGACCTTTAACACTCTCTTTGCTTTCTCAATCTCAAGTGGGTCGGGATGATTTGCACCAAAAACCCTTTCCACCTGCATTGTCACAAGGAAAAAGAAAACTGTTGTTCGCACTTCCCTCCAAATGATCAATATTGCTTGCATACAATTCCACCAAATGAACAACCTATCTTACTTACCTCCTTTATTAAAGTATCTGTATGGAGAATTTGAATGTCATCTGGAGCTCTCTTTCCAATGCCATTCTGTGATGCAAAAAAATCTTTTCTAGATGGACCTTTTGTGATACCCCTACCTCTTCCTACGCCAGACACAACATCACGACCAGAAGATCTATTTATTACATGCCCTGATCCACCATAACCTCCACGGTGAGGAATTCCTGGGTCACCTTCCCATTGTATGTCCTCAGGAGATATCTGCCAAAAGAAATTGAATCACTACAACGCATAACCAAAATTATTGAGTAAATATAGATGGTGCTACTACAGAACAAGAATCACAATTATAGACTCCACATGGGAAAGTGGTGAAACCAAATAGTTTTCTACAAACAAAAGAAAAGTCCTTCGAATTCAAATCATGTGGAAGAAAAGAATTCCAGATATACCTCTGAGAGATTAACCCATTCCCATGTCTCATTTGCAGTACCAATATCATAGACCAGAGCATGTCGTCCCTAACAAAGAAGGTAAAAAGGGTATCAGGCACAAATCGCATGCCAACTAAATTCTATATGCAGTCTTACCTCAACTGGATTATAATCAGTTATAACAGCTTCATAGAAGTTATTATCATCTGGCCATCTGGTTCTCACTCTCTTCCCAATTAATGCATCAAATGCTGCTCCTTCAGCAGGGTCACCCATCAGTGCAGCACCAGTAGATACTCTATTAACAGCCTGGCCCCTTCCGGTTTGTCCTGAGGAGGGGTACCGTGTGGATTTCATTGAAGATGCACCAGGCAAACCCTATCGATAGAATAAAAGAGAAACAAACAAGATGAGGTATGGTTTATGAAGCCTTCCATATGGAACTGAAAAGTTCATAATTCTAACTCACTGGTTTATGTTTCTTGCCCTTAGAGCCTGTTAAAGTTCCTCGCTTGGCAGTTGAAGAAGATGGCTGATGAGATGGAGCTACTGTTTGTGGGTGATATGATGGAGATGGCCCAGCAAATGATTGTGAAGGTACTGACTGGGTTATCTTCTGTTTCTTATGAGATGCAGAGACAGTAGGACTGGGCACAGGATCACGAACAGCTTGAGCAGCATTGAGCATGCTGGATTGAATCCCACCTGCTTGTCTCCACTCCCTAATGGAATGAATGAAACAACTATAGTTTTACTGATAGGTTTCATTTTAATTAAACAATCATGTCCAGGAACTGAACCAGACCTTATCCTCCGTATGAGATCGTCTGCATTAACCCTACCCAGAAGTTCTCTATGCTCCTCATTTGATAACCTCAACTCTTTCCTAAGTTCTGTTATCAAACTCTCCTTCTCCTGAAGAAAAAACATTTTAGATAGCAGTTATTTAAAGCTGATGAAGCAAAATCGAAGGTATTAGACCTATCAAAACAAGAAATTATATAGTACCCAAGTGATGGCATCAGCTTGAGCTTTAAAGGCTCTAAGGACCGAAGTGTATGCTTCTTGCTCAAGCTGGTGAATTTGAGCCTCCATATCAGTTTCACCATACATCCTAGGGTATGGCACAGAAGCTATGGCAGGTCTTCCGTTTCCAGTAATGCGTCCCCCTCTAGGTACTCTGTTCTGGTGTGATGGGGGCAGATCATCATCAGTTCCTGAAATCATTTAAATTTTAGTAATATAGAGAAAGAGAAAGGACTATAACAAGTAGCTTGGGGGGGAGGCCATAAAAAGTTGCTAACTTAAGGTCATGGTGCAGTACAAGATTGTAGGCTGTCAACAGCATTTCTTCTACCACAAGGGTAATCATTTATCATAGTATAAGGCAGCACAACTGGTTCTTGAACAAATCATGCAGGCTCACAAACCCAATCAATTCACTTATTAGGTTAAGAACAACAACATGCACACCATATTCATATTCTTCTCCCTAATACAACTTCTCACGTATAGTTGTAACCCCCTCTTTACTCCTATTTCATGTTTATGTCTATATAAGAGATACGTATGGAACGTCAGAAATTATGAAAAAGTATCATTATATATCATATCCAGGTTTGAATTGAACTCTATATATATATAAGTCGCGTTAACAGCAGAACATAGACTAGGAGATGATTTTTTTTTTTTTTTCCTCCTTTATGAGTTGGAGAAGCAGTTGAAGAACAAGTAAAAAAAAAAAAAAAAGGAAAAAGAAAATAGCGACCACACAAGAGAAAAAGATGTTTTTGACAAGAAGCACAACATCCCATTTCCATGTCAAAACTTCAAATTTGTCCCCAAAAAAAAAAAAAAAGGAATAAACTTGTACAGTAATTACAGCCCAAAAACCCTAATTCTTAGACACCCTTGAATTGAAGTGGGGAGGCCAACCTTTGGACAATAACCAGAGAAGAATTGAAAGCTAGAAAAAAAGGGAAACCCTAATTGGAATAAATAGTAGTAAAAATAATAATAATAATAATAATAAAGTTAATAAAAGAAAAAGATTTGATGGTTGAGAGGGAGGAAACTAACCACTGCTATCGTATGGCTCGTAGTCCATGGGCAGAGTGAGTGTGGCTTGAAAACCCCCCAAATTGCAGTTTGAATGAGATGAGATGAGAAGAGAAGAGATGGTTGGTGAAAAACAGAAACTTGTTGTGTCGGCTTTGAGCAGTGAAGAGAGTATTGGCGGGTAGAAGAGAAAGAGAAGAGATGAAATTTAAGTACAGTAGAAGAATCTGTGCAATCTCATCTCTGTTTATTATTATTATTATTAGAAGAAGAAGAAGAAGAAGAAGAAAGACGAACTTCAAGCTGAAGAAGTTGCAGCTGAAGTTGGCGTTGGAGTTGGGATTGGAGCTCAGAGAGAGAGAGAGAGAGAAAGTGAGAGTGTTAAACTCTAAATAAATGAAGAAAATAAAAATATAAATATATATTAACGGACTTGAAATAGCTTTTATAATTGCACGGTCGGTATGGAATGGAATGGATTTCAAGTCCGGTTCTTTTTGGTTTTACATGTGGGGCCCAATAGGAATAAGAAGCCCAGCCGGTAGTCCTTTCCGGGTTGGGGTTGCGGCTAATTGACACACACACATAACATAATAATGCAATCTCATCATCCAAACAAAAAACATGGCTTTTGGAGGAGTTTTCTTTTCTTCTTCTTCTTCTTCTTCTAGTCACGTTCTTATGTGATATGAGATTAATGGAGCTGCCAAATAAGTGATGGAGGAAGAAAATTTGTTATGAGATTAATATTTACTGGAACCGCTTTCCTTGTCCGTTGTTCAATTTACAACTGCAACTTCTTTTTGTAAGGATCAGTAAAGGTGATGAGAAATTAAAGAAATCTCTAATTTGTTGATGCAAGCAGCAGCAGCAGCAGCAGCAGCAGCTGCCGCCTCCAAAAATCAATGACATGAGATCAAAAATCAAAACAAAAGTATGAGAAACTGCCATGGAGCGTCTCCCCCCCCTAACAAACCCATTTCAACTTTCATACCATCGACCACTGAGATGATGACAAAATATACCATTACCAACCACCACCAATTAAGCCATCTACAAGTGGAACAACAGACACTTGAATAAATTTGCTGCTTGGTCCAGATAAAAAGTGCACATATTCCATTGCACCCAAAAAAGAAAAAAAAAAAAAAGGGATATGCTAGCACAGCATGCAACAATACTGCAAGCCATAGATTTTGACCTTTCTTTATCCAACCACAATTGTAAAGGAAACAAGATATACCCGTCAGAGAACCAATACCCAAAACCAACATCCAATATCAAATCAGATCCATCAGAAACCAGCCCACCCAGCAGGTTGACAAGTTGCCTTATTCTCCACCATCTTTGATCCCCCACTATTTCCTTCACTTACAGGCCTCGATGTTTGAGGACCAGCAGCAGGTGCAGCTGAGAAACTCTCCGTTCCAAAACCCCACGTGTCGAAGCCAGATGGTGGTGCTTGACCAGATTGCTTCTTTGACTGACCATTTCTGGTTCTTACTGATTGGATATTACCCTTAGAGAAAAGCTGCTGCTGCTGCTGCTGTTGCTGATTCGGATCCTCAGCAAAAGCTTGCCATGGCTTTGTTTCTAAGCTAGGACTAGCCCACTCAGATTTCTCTTGCTGGAAAGAATAAACACCGTAAAGAAGAACATGAGTAAACCACGAAAAATTCAACTCAATATTCAACCACATGCAAATGCTAAGTGAACATAAGCAGAAAGAATACCGGACTCGCAGCTGCGTGAATTCCAGGAGAGTTCTGATTTCTTGAAGCATCTTTATTTGGTGATGGAGTTCTAGCAACAAGAGCTTGCTTGAGCTCCTGTATTTCCTGTCTCTGTGATCGGCAAATTGCAGACAACTTCTCAAATTTAGAAGTCATTTCAGCCTTCTCCAAGTTGGCTTGCTTCAGCTGTCCTTTCAGACTCTCTATTTCAGCCTCTAATGCTTCTTCCCTGCCAAGCTTGCTATTGCCAATTCCAGAACCAAGCTTATTGTTGTCAAATTCAGCAACAAAAGTGTTGAATGCCTCGTCTTGGAATGCAGCAGTGCTCTCAGGTTTTGACGATTTTGGCCTATCAGTCCCAATATCCTTATCCTGAAAAAATGCTATTTCAAAATCTTTGGAAGCTCCAAGTTCAGGTTTATTTGATTTACCAACCATATTTCTTTGTATAGAATGGCTTTGTATGCTATCCTCTCTAACAGGACTAGTGTTTTTGGGTAGTGGATGATTCTCGGGTCGATTCCTGTCATGTTTCAATGAGCTATAGTTCGTTGGATCTTCATCAAATTTAGGTTTGCTCTTGTCTTCACCAACAAGTGACTCCTTTGCATGCTGAGTGGACCAGAAGGCACCTAGTTGTCCTGCACTTGCCCTTGTAGCCTGCTGTAGTGCATTTCTGGATGATTCCACAGAAGAAGGTGGAGGTGGTGGACTTCTATGAGGCATCTGAGGAGACCTGTTTGCAGGCCTTGGGAGACCTGCTAAATTGCCACAAATAATCAACAATCAACTGAATGCAAGGTTTGAATGCACAAACTGATAGATTTCCATTTAGGTTATCAAGACATCCTCACCTTCAGTAGACAGCATTTCAGGAGGCCTATCAGGTAATGACTTCTGTAGATTAACAGGTAACAGATCATTGACACGAAACCAGACCTGCTACCATGGGAAGAAATCCCAACATCAGTGAGCACAACGTTAGAATCCCTGGAAAAAATTGCCGTGGACATAGATGATCTAAAACTAACCTAAGTTCATGATGATGAATGGCCAATCAAGCAAAGCGCTTGCCTGCGTGATGTCAGGTCTGTCATCTGGTGAAGCTTGAAGCATGTCTCTAATTAGGTCGGTAACTGAAGAACTATAATTGGGCAAGTCTGGAATACGGTAGTTCCCATTTAAGATTTGCAACTTGGACTCTCCATCAAAGGCATTCTTGAAATAGCAAATGCGAAATAGAAGACACCCAAGGGCCTGTAACATTACAAAGCAGCTAAGCAATCTAAACAGCATATCTAACTTGTCTCCAGATTTCACAGAGGAATATAGGTCACTTCACTTACCCATATGTCCACCTTTTCATTAATAAGCTCTCTCCGGAACAGATCCCACATCTACATCAACAGAGGAAGCAGGAAGCAATTAAATATTTCAACAGCCAAAGAAGAGAAATTTATGTTGTCCTGAAGAAAAAGTTGGTCAATCAACCTCGGGGGCCCTATAGGCAGGCGTAGTATGCTTCCTAATATTGTCTTCTTCTATGCCCATCTCTTCAGGCTTCTCAAAGCGCTTATGGTTGGTGGAGGTGCTCCCAAAGTCACACAACTTCCATAGTCCATCAGAACCCAACAGAAGATTCTCCGCTTTTAAGTCTCTGAGAAGACCAATATGCATGAAAGAAAGTGAAGAAACTTTAGCATTTATGAAAAAGTTGTGAAAGAATACAAAACCATAAGATGTGGGAAGAGTGAAGAGCTGAAAATATAAAGAGAAATGCTTTTCTTATTGAATACATGTATATAGGGAAGATGGCGACTAGCATAAGTAAACTTAGGGAAAAACAAAGAAGCTAAAATATTGTTTTAAAAAAAAGGGGGTGGGTTGAAAGCATCTGATACTGAATTGAGGTAGGATAATTACCTGTGGGCGACAGGAGGTGACTGGCTGTGCATTGCAAAGACTGCATTACACACATCTCTGAAGATAGAAAGAACCTCTTTCTCCTCAAAATAGGCAGAACCTCTGGTCTCCAAGACGTTAACCAGAGATTTGTCACAAAACTCCATGACAAGGAGGGCTTCCTTGGTCCTTCCCATGTCAAAAAAGGAATGTGCATGAAGTGTGACTACATTGGGATGTCCCTTGAGTGATTTCATGACAGAGATCTCATTGATAACGAGTTGCAATGATTCGTCATCATTGCAAATGATGTGCTTCAAAGCATAGTGCTTTGAAGCATGCACAACATCCCTAGCAAGGTAGACACAAGAGAAACCTCCCTCAGCAATGACATTCCTGACATGAAGTTTGAGATTGGCAACATCAATGGAGCGACCCTCAAGTCCAGCAGTTTCTTTTTGCATAAAGGGTTTGAACCTCCACATATTTGGGTCTGCAATTGAATTGAATTAACAAATTCCAAAATAGAATACCTCTATCTCTCATTTTAGAAAAATAATAATAAAAAGAATCTGAATTCATTCACATTTCACATATCACAATTACAGCACCTGAATCAAATCCTCAGCTAAGCCTAAGAAAAAAATAAAATTCAGATCTGATAAATAAACGTAAAAGAAGAAACAAGTGTTGGGTTGGCAGATCTAAATCCTTGATGAATTAATAATAGAAAAACACATCTCCGGTGCGAATGAAATCAATCAAGATCCATATGAAATCTCTCCACACATCTTTTCTTTTAACTTAAAACCCAGAAATAAAAACTCAACGATGATAAATACCTGAAGAACTGAGATCGAGAGACGCTGAGAGAACTGAGATGTGAATTGTGGCCTTCGGCTTCTTCTGCAGTTCCGCCTGAAGAAAAAGAATGAATGAAGGAATGAAGATGATGAGACTTGTTGTTGGACCTTTCTCTTTCTTTTACGCGTCGCACCTTATTCTCAACAATCATTATTTTTTTAATTAATTAATTAATTAATTAATCCTAGTATGCTACCCCTAATCCTTTCATTTACTGTACTAATTTATTTATTCGTCCTCAACTTTTTTATTATATATATACTGGTAGGTGAGGAAAAACACTGTATTATAGGATTCTAATTGGGAAAAAGTGTTTTTTTTTTTTTTTGCACCC